AAGGTGAAAATGTATGGCAGTAGCCTCATGTGGACCTTGGTCAACTACTCAGAGTGATAGAGTATAAACAGAGATCTAGACGTCTGAAGCTATACAGTTCTGTTAATAGTTTTAAGATGAACATATAACTCCATGATATTGGAAGCATGGGACAATACTAGAGATTATGTAGCTGAAACTCAACCCTTTTCCCATATGTAACCAGTGTGACAAGAGGTGTCCATCAATCTGTTGTTATAAGTGAGAAAATTAACAGGTTTTATAAGAAACTGTACAGAGAGCCAGTCCTACCTAACTCCATGTCCCACCCTTCTCATTGTTCATCTCCTTCTATTCTGCCCCAATTATTTCTAACCAAAATCATTCACTTCTACTTCCTCACTCTATATGTTTACATTGTTGGTTTTCTTCCCTCAGTAGTTACATACCTTTCAAAACTCTGCAATACTTCATGCAGTCCAGACTGTGTCTTCCAAGTGAAGGCTTTCTGAGCTTCCCAGACAGGCACAATTGGTCTCTACCTTGGATTCTCACTATGTTTGGTGATCTATTTTTATTACTGATATCTCTTTCTCTAGGTCCTTTGCTAAGTAACTACAGTGTTTTGGTGTTTCTCAGCTGCTTCCAATTACAAGGGTAAACACATAGCAGGAGAAAGGAAAAAGTAGGTTCAGTGAATGGAAAATATCTTGTTTGGTTTTCTTTTTGCTGGTCTTGGATTCGTTGATGCCTCTGCCTTATTCGCTGAGTGCCATGGCGACAGGTATGTGCAAAGCACTTGTTAAAGGCTGAGAATTTTGTAACAAGACGGGAAAGAGTTGGATATTTCTGGAAAGAGAACAGGCATAGAAAGGAAGCAGTAGAAGAAAAGGAATTCAAGAGGGGCTAGTTGATATCCAGTGTCCTAAGGCAGACACAGAGGTATAATCAACAAAGAACAGGATGATTATGTTTAGGGAGATACACTTGATCACTTGATTAACTTTCAGAAGTGTAGGAAATAACTCAGTTAACAATATCTGCTTAAGACTTTTTGAAATCCTGGGTATTAAACCCAGGTTCTTACATACGCTAAGCAAATGTTGAATGTGCCACATGCCTGTGGATTTTTAACTATCTCAACTGCTCAAAGATTTCCTAAACCAGTCTAGTAAACAGCAAATGTGAACCACCCATTAGAAGGAACACAGTGATCTGCTCATCGTCAGCTTTCTCCCACTTTACTGCTATGACCTCACTGCCCCTTTTGTTTACTTTGCTCCTTGTCATCCTTCATCCTGCAGATCACGCTAAGGTATTAAAAATGCTATCTTTTATCTAAAAACCTCTTCCACCAGGATGTCAGGTAGCTAACACTTTTCTGTCCGTCATAAGACCTGTCCTTAACATTATGTTATTTTTTTTACAGTTTATTAACTTTGTATCCCAGCTGTATCACCCTTTCTCAATCCCTCCCAATCCCACCCTCCCTCCCTGGTCTCCTCCCTGCTCCTTTCCAAGTCCACTGATAGGCGAGGACCTTCTCCCCTTTCATCTGAGCCTGGTTTATCAGGTATCTTCAGGACTGGATGCATTATGTTTAAAGTGTCAATCTGTTGCAACTGGCTACACTCCTGTTTTTCCGGTATTTGTTAAGTATCTCCTCAGAACTTTTGCATTTCTACATTTCTATTCATGGTGTAGTAACTGTTTACTGTCTGTCTTCTTCCTCAGCTTGTAATTACTAAAGGGTGCTTTACCTGACTTCTCTATGGTGTTAGCTGAGACACTTAAGTGCTAAAACTACTGCTTTTCTCACAGTAGGTTCTCAGCAAACATTTGTGAAACTAATGAATTTCATATACAAAAGAGATGGTACAGCTGATTATTTTCTTCAATTGTACTGTAGTTTACCTATAAAGCTCTGATGGGATCATCCTATTTTTTTTTTCTTGTTTGCTTTTAAGAAGGGACTTATTGTACAGGTCTGGCTGTCTTGGAACTCATCATGTAGACCAGCCTGGATTCAAACCTGTAATAATTCTGTATCAATCTCCTTTTTGCTTTGTGCCATCAACCCTTGCTAAACTGTCATAATCTCTATGCACTTGAATAAATTTTCTCTCATCAGGCCTCAGATATCCATGTTTAAATAAGAAAGTCCTATTTATTATATGGAATGTTGGATCCCTCCTCCACTGAGCTACTTATTTTGTGACTATTAATTATTAGACTATAATAATTGCTTGCTTATTTATTTATCCCCCTTCAAGTCTTCAAACATAAGAATCTGACCCTTTTTATCTTTCTATTTCCTCTCTCTCTCTCTCTCTATTTCTTCCTTTCAAGGTTAGTTCTCACTATTTAGCACTGGCATGCCTGGAACTCACCTACGCAGACTGCTAACTTCAAACTCAAAGCGATCTGTCTGCCTCTGAGATTAAAAGTATATACCACCACACCCAATGTCTACTTTATATTTTCAATATCCAGGAAAGGACGGGCCTTAAACAAGGTGTCAGTAGCTCCTCCTTACCATTACTTACGCTCTGTGGCCCCTTTCTACTATTGAGTGAATTAGCTTAGGCAGTTGAGGTCTGTTTCAAATTAGAAAGTCAGAAAGCAATAAGCCGTGGCATAGAGTTTAGGCTTATCCACCTGTCTGTTCCACTGGTGAGCATTTTCCTCATTGCTTTGGTGTACTCTCGACATTGAGTCTGTTTTCTCTGTGGACTCTTCTGTCATGAGTATAGAATGTGTTTTATGTACATTAAAATGAGACTTGTTAAGTGGGCCTACCTACAAACATTCCTTTACCCCACCTTTGTAATGGCTCAGGGCTAAGCGATGTGCTTCTTTACTTTTTAACAACTCTTGGGTAAAAATGTCTCCTGAGAAATGTTATTAAAATTAATTAAAGGATAATTATTTTGTGGGGAGAAATAAGTCATATTTGACATTATCTATAATGTCAAATTAGACATTATCCCAGTATATAATAACTAACTAATTTTTGTTTACTTTGAGGGGTCTTTAAAAAATGAAAATGAGAAATAATCAATGGATAATTAGCCCATTTCTCATGTTACCTGAGTTCTGCCCTTTTTCTTTTGAGGAAATTTCTGTTTCCTTAAAGGTATTTTTCTCTTTAATTCATTTTACTTATAATTTTATTCCAGCTTCTGTCTCTAGTCAGACTGTAATTGTGTCCTTAGACCATATTGCTCCCTTGCTCTCTAGGAAGACCTTTCTGAATTCACCTCTTGAATCTCTCTTCCCAAATAAGCTCCTCAGATGCAACCTGTTTCAATTTGTATCTAAAGCAGTGATGTTTACTGTCAGGAGTTAGAACTAATTAAGTGAAACTTGTTTTAATTCTGAAATTTAACTTTGTGTTTTCAAAAAGCACAGATTGGGTTGATAAATTAATTTGAAATTAAATAACATGAGGTATGGCATAAGTGCACATTTGTTTGTGAATAATTTTGTATAGTATACTCCTCCCTTATGTACAGTTTTGATTCCTATGATTATAATTACTTATGGTGAACTATAGTCTAAAACATTAAATGTAAAGTTACAGAAACAAATGATCCACAGGTTTCAGTTGTTTGGCTTTCCAAGCACGAAGTCCCGTGTCACGGTCCTCTCATGAAGCATTCCTGCATTCAGTTTAGGCAAGCTACTCTGCACTGCCTTCTTCTAGTCTTTTCATTGTTCGTTCTGTGCTTATGTTCCAGTGACCATTGCTTTATGCAACAATGGCTCAAAAGTGTAAAACTAACGATGCTGGCAAATAAAGAGGTAAATTTTCCTGCCATAATAAGGAAACGGAAAAAAATTATATGCCAAGGTTGCTAAGATCTATGGTACAGTAAGAAATTTTGAGAAATAAGCTAAAAGAGAAAGATATCAGCTACAGATTACCTTTTAAACCTATACTTTTATTAGTTATGATTTATTATAAACCATGATGGCTGACATCTTACTGTGTCTAGACTATAAATTTGAATGTGTGGCATGTGTATGCACTCGTGTGTGTGTGTGTGTTCACGTGTGTATGTATACGTCTACAGAGTGTATGGGGAGGGCACTAGCCAAAGTTTTGATTACCTATTTCATATCACATCTATATTCATATATATTTTTTTCTATGAGTATAATAATTTTTATTTGTATTAATATAAAACATCCTTTTTAAAATTTATTTTTCTCTCATATATTATATCCCAACCACAGTTTCTCCTCCCTCCATTCTTCCAAGTTCCCCCAGACATGCTTCCCCTCTCTCCCAAATCCACTCTTCTCTCCCATTTCCCTTCAGAAAATATCAGGGCTCTTTTCTTTTTTTTTTTAGTATATAAACTAAAATGGCATAAAGAATCATAGTAATACTAGGACAAACCCTCATCAAGGCAGAACAAGGCAACCCAGTAGGAGGGAAAGGGCTCCAAGAGGAGGCAAATCAAAGCCATTGCTCTAAACTCAGGAAGAGCAGCATTACTTGAGTCTTCAAAAGATGTACAGCCATGTAGAGCCAACAGTTGTCCTCACCAGGAGGTTTTTAATCTAGTAGTCAAGCTTTTAGTTTTATCCTGATTTTGAATTTGATTCATCCCAGGAGCTGTCTGATGGACCATACTAAAATGTTTTTCTAGTCACATGGTTTCCTGCCTCATAGTTTCTTCTGAAACCTGAGAATCCACTGACACGAAAGTGCTCATCCCTGGTACCATCTGCAGACCCATTCCTGACCCAGATCCAAAGACCTAAACCTTACATACGGCCTCAGGATGCTGTGTCAATGTTCTTGGCTGTGTTCTTTATTTTAGGTGGTCTCTTTTTTCTGGAAACATGTTGTGGCCTCTTATATTTGCTACATCATATCCATGATGGACGAGGAATCTAGAGTAGAGTTTTACAATAGAAATCTCTCCAGCCCAGTGCCCTCGAGTCTTGTGGAGCCGCTCATGAATTTTCTGATGTTACATTTGCATCCTTTGTCATTTGAAGATACAACTATGTGGAAGGGAAACATCACCAACGTCAGTGAGTTCGTCCTCGTGGGCTTCCCCACTGCTCCCTGGCTCCAAACTCTGCTTTTCTTCATATTCTTTATTACTTACCTGTTTGTACTTTTGGAGAATCTTGTCATCATTCTTACTGTGTGGGTCACTGGGTCCTTGCACAAACCCATGTACTACTTTCTGGGTACCATGTCCTTTCTGGAGGCCTGGTATATATCCGTCACTGTCCCCAAGATGCTCACTGGATTTCTTTTTCACCCCAATACCATTTCTTTCTTGGGATGCATGACCCAGCTTTATTTCTTTATATCCCTTGCCTGTACTGAATGTGTGCTTTTAGCTGCCATGGCCTATGATCGTTACGTAGCCATATGTTGCCCTCTTCGGTATCCAGTCATGATGACCACAGGATTTTGTGTTCAGCTGACTATCAGTTCCTGGGTGAGTGGCTTCACCATCTCCATGGCAAAGGTGTACTTTATCTCCCGAGTTTCCTTCTGTGGAAATAATATCCTAAACCATTTTTTTTGTGACGTGTCGCCCATTCTTAAGTTGGCCTGTATGGACTTATCTATGGCTGAGTCAGTGGATTTCGCCCTAGCCATTGTCATCCTCATGTTTCCTCTCTCAGCCACAGTTCTTTCCTATGCTTTCATTGTCTCCACAATCCTGCACATACCCTCAGCCACTGGGCAGCAGAAGGCCTTCTCCACCTGTGCTTCTCATCTCACAGTAGTGGTCATCTTCTACACAGCTGTGATCTTCATGTATGTCCGACCTCGGGCCATTGCTTCATTCAATTCTAACAAGCTGATCTCAGCCATCTATGCAGTCTTCACTCCCATGATCAACCCTATCATCTATTGCCTGAGGAACAAGGAAGTCAAAGATGCCATTAGAAAAACCATAGCTGGCAGTAGACCCCTGTCCTTGGGAGACTCTATTTTCTGAAGTGGCTTAGACGTTTGTCATTTGACTTAGCATCAAAAGACACTTTCTTTGAAAGAAATTCTGTAATTGTAAACATTGACTTAGTAGAACAATCTAAAGAGAAAATCAGAGACCATAGAGAACCCTCTTTTCTGTCAGGCCTTAATGAAACACTTTTTATAGAATAGATTTAGTTAAAATATACCTTATCAAAATAGTTATAAAGCAATTTTATTATCTCTGAAATACTCTGAATAAATAACTGAACTATTTCAGTTGTAACTGAACTATTTCTAGAGTTCTGTTGGTTATTGGCTTTTAATTATTCCGTTTTAAAAGTCTTTTATTTAGCATGGCACAGAGATGGATCTCTGTGAGAAATTAAACAGATATGAGCTATTACTCTTTGATGTGGGTTGGAGACACAAATTAAATATAACCAACCATAGCTCATTTGGGTTAGTTTTAACATTTAGCGAAATGAGAGAAAATTTCCTTCTAACTACAATAGGAATACCGTGAAGTAGTGCATTGTCAACTTTTCGTGACGCGGGGTAAAGGAAACACACAGATACATACGCTTTCTCACCCATGCACACACACACACACACACATGAGTGCGCACACACATGCTTCTACACATAAAATTTGGGTGAAACAGTGCAAGGTTGGACAGTAAGAAATTGGAAATTGTGTGGGTACTGATTAAAGCACACTCATTTTGGGTAAAAGCCACATTGGCACTGACGAGAGACCAACCACTTTTGCTAGGCACCACTTGGCCTGGATGTGAGAAAGTTTCCAAGTTTTTCCATACATCCACCTTTTAATTTGTTTTACTTTGAAAGGATAGATGTTGGATCCTACCAAGTAGTACATATGTTCATGTAGTAGTAAGATAATAAAAGAGAAATGGGTTCTGTTTGGCTCAGTAGAAATGCTGAATAAGTAAGTTGGAATGTGATCTGCAAGAGTTAAAAAAATGACAGGTATACTGACTGTTTTCATCCAACATTTTATATGTTTTAATTAGACTGCTTGCCTACTCATATTAGATTTTTTTACTTTGTTTACATGCTGTTGGGAACACGCAAAAAAAAAAAAAACAAACAAAAAAAACCCCACGTTATTCTAAGTATTACCATTTCATTTTCAGACTCCATTTAATCATAGGGAGAAGCTAAGTTCAAGGTTCCAGGCCCTCGTGGAGCTGGGGACTTCCCAATAGCTGATCAGCTTCTGTTGTAAGGAGACAGTTGTCTGAGTCCAGACATCTCAGGGCCAACTTATAAAGAAACAATTGTTTTGAGTCCAGCCATTTCAAGGAAAACAACTATCAGATATAGTGTTAGTGAAGATCTTTAACCAGTCTTTAGGCTGTTGATTTATTCTGTTGACTGTGTTCTTTGCTTTACAGAAGTTTTTCAGTTTCAGGAGGCTCCATTTATTGATTGTTGTTCTTAGAGACTGAGATGTTGGTGTTCTGTCCAGGAAATTGCCTCCTGTGTCAATGAATTTAAGACTTTTCCCCATTTTTTCTTCTAACAGATTTAGTGTGTCTGGATTCATGTTGAGGTCTTTGATCCACTTGGTCTTTAGTTTTGTGCAGGGTGATAAATACAGATCTATTTGCATCTTTCTACATGTAGGTATCTAGTTAGACCAGCACCATGTAAACTTGTACAACCACTATGGAAATCAATCTGGCGCTTTCTCAGAAAACTGGGAGGAGTGCTACCTCATAGCCTAGTTATACCACTTCTGGGCATATATCTGAAAGCATATATATGTTCTACAATACAAGGACATTTGTTCAACTATGTTCATAGCAGCTTTTTTCCTAATAGTCAGAATCTGGAAACAACCTAGATGTCCCTCAGCTAAAGAATGGATTCAGAAATTGTGGTACATTTACACAATGAAATACTTCTCAACAATTAAAAACAAAGAGGTCATGAAATTTGCAGGCAAATGGATGTAACTAGAAAGGATGATCCTGAGTGAGGTATCCCAGAAGCAGAAAGACACACATGGTATATACTCACTTATAAGTGTATATTAGCCGTATTATATAGAATATACATACTAAAATCTGCAGACCTAAAGAACCTAAACGACAAGGAGGATCCTAGGGAAGATGCTTAATTATCATTCAGAAGGGGAAACAGGATAAACACCTGAAGCAGCAAAAGAGAGGGAACAGAACAGGAGCCTACCACGGATATCCTCTGAAAGACCCCAACCAGCAGGGGATTGAAGCAGATGCAGAAAGCCAAACTTTGGACAGAGCACAGAAAGTCTTTTGGAAGAAGGGGGATTTAAAAGGACCTGGAGGGGACAGGAGCCACACAAGCAGACCAACAAAGCCAAAAAAAGCAGGACCCAGGAGGGACTGCAGAGACTGATGCATCAACCAAAGAACATACATAGAGAAGAGATAGACCCTCTGCTCAGATGTAGCCCATAGACAGCTTAGTCTCCATGTGCGTTTCCAAGTAAGAGAAGAAGAGAGTCTCAGACATGAATTAGGTTGCCTGTTCCTTCATCAATTCTCTTTGGTAGGGTGACCTATCCAGCCCACAGAGGAAGAAGATCCAGGTAGTCCTGATGGGACCTGTTAGGCTAGGGTCAGTAGGGAAGGAGGACTTCCCCTATCAGTGGACTAGGGAAGAGGGATAAGGGAGGAAGAGTGAGGGAGAGTGAGATCAAGAGGAGATGAGGGAGGGGGCTAGAGTTGTGATATAAAATGAAAAATTGTAAATAAAGATAATAAAAATGATAAAAGTTAAAAATAAAAGGCTAGTTTATTTTTATATTTTGTATTTCTATTTTTTTTTAATTTTTATTCATCATGGGTAATTTTTCTTCTCTGACCTGCTCCAACTTCTCTTAGGCTTCCTTTATCTGACTCTTCCAACTTAAACTTCTTTTTAAAATTTAAATTGTTATACACAATGTATCTTGATCTCATCTACCCTTCAGTTCTCCCCACCTCCAATCCCCTAGGACCCTCATTCACATCTCTCTCCCAACTTGATGGCCTCATTTAAAAAGTATTTATTTGTGTTTTTTAATTCCTTATTTTTTGTTTTTAAAATGTTTTATTAATTACAATGTATTCACTTTGTATCCAAGCTGTACCCCCCTCACTCGTCCCCTCCCAATCCCACCCTCCCTCCCTCATCTCCTCCCAACCCCCTCTTCAAGTCTACTGATAGGGGGGTCCTCCTCCCCTTCCATCTGATGCTAGCCTATCAGGTTTCACCAGGACTGGCTGCATTATCTTCCTCTGTGGCCTGGTAAGGCTGCTCCCCGCCCCTGGGGGAGGTGATAAAAGAGCCAGCCCATGGGTTCATGTCAGAGACAGCCCCTGTTCCCATTACTAGGACACCCACTTGGACACTGAGCTGATATGCACTACCTCTGTGCAGGGGTTCTAGGTTATCTCCATGCATGGGGTCCTTAGTTGGAGTATCTGTCTCAGAAAAGACCACTGTGTCCAGATTTTTTGTTTCTGTTGCTCAGCTTGTGGAGCTCCTGTCCCCTCTAGGTCTTTCAACAACCACTTTGGAAATCAATCTGGTGCTTTCTCAGACAATTAGGAATAGTGCTTCCTCAAGATCCAGCTATACCACTCCTAGGTATATATCCAAAATATGCTCAAGTATACAACAAGGACATTTGCTCAACCATGTTTGTAGCAGCTTTATTTGTAATAGCCAGAAGCTGGAAAAAACCCAGATGTCCCTCAGTTGAGGAATGGAAATTGTGGTACTTTTACACAATGGAATACTACTCAGCAATTAAAAACAAGGAAATCATGAAATTTCCAGGCAAATGGTGGGAACTAGAAAAGATCATCCTGAGTGAGGTAACCCAGAAGCAGAAAGACACACACGGTATATACTCACTTATAAGTGAATATTAAACATATAATATGGGATAATCATACTAAAGAATCTAGTCAAGAAGGAGGACCCTGGGTAAGATGATCAATCCTCACCCAGAAAGGCAAACGGGTGGACATTGGAAGTGGGAGAAAATAGGGAAGGAGCCTACCACAGAAGGCTTCTGAAAGACTACCCAGCAGGGTATTGAAGCAGATGCTGAGACTCATAGTCAAACTTTGGACAGAGTGCAGAGAATCTTATAAAAGGAAAAATATTTACTTGTAATTTATCTTAATTCACTGAGACTGCATGAGCCCAGGCATGAGCTTTTCCACTAGGGCATGGAAATACCACAACCCACACATCCTAAAAAAAAGGGACTGTCTCTTTCTCAATAGATATCAGCTGCTATTAACTTCTTATAAGGCTAGGAGCAGATGGGTAAGGGAGGCAGGCTACCCCTTTCTGATAAATAGGGGAGGGGAGGAGAAAAGGGGGGAGGATGGGAGCAGGAGGAGACAAGGGAGGGGTCTATAATGAGGATATAAAGTGAATAAATTATAAAAAAATTAAATTAAATTAAAAATGAAACTTCTTCTTTAGGATCAGGGCTATGCAAATGTTCCACCTGTGCTGGGATTTTTAGCCAGCTTATCTTGTGTAAGTAACCACGGCTCTGAGGGTTCTTGTAAGCAATGGCTCTCCTATGTATAAGGAACAGATTTTCCCAGCACGCTCCTCCACCTCTGGTTTATACATTCTTTTGTCCATTCTTCTGAGATGTTTCCTGAGCACTGGGGGCTGGGGCTGGATAGAGATGGCCTATCTAGGCTGAGCATTCAGTCACTTATTCTCAGTATCTTTTTCACTGACCACTCCCTACTGTAATAGGACACTTCTTTGCAAAGGACTGAGATCTTCAAATATAATATAATAAATATAATATAATATGATAATATATAATATATATTTATATAAATATATAAAAGCATGTTTGACAATATAAATTTGCTTAAAATATCTTGATAATAGTTTTAAAAGTTCTAATACGAAGTTTAATACACAACTGAAGCACAGCTGTTCATTTAAAGAAATTCTCCTTTCTTACAGATAATAGGGTATCATTTTAGT